TCTCAAACTTGTTTGAAGTCATTTTCGATAAGCAGACTGCAATCACCTCCTTTGTCTCTTCGACCTTGTTGCTTTGCACGCTTCCTCCCAACCCGCCAGGACCCAGCCCCATCGCTCTTTACTACAATGGAACGCTACTGGACTTGAACGAAGCTGTTGTTTTCATGTATCGCAAATCTCCCAGGATTTTACAGGTAAATCCAGAGGTTGTGGTCTCTACGATGAAACAAATGATCACAGTGATCGGGGAAGACTTTGTACCATCAGAGAGTCTGGTTTGCAAGTTTGGGGCGAGTAAGTTGGTCACCGCTTTGCTGACAAGTTCCACAAAGCTCACTTGCTTAATGTCGCCCATGCATTCAAATTTTGTAGCATTGCAGATATGTTTCAATTTTGATGCCTGCATGCACAATTCACATCAAATTCGAGTGGCTGAACACGTCAAACAAGTCTCTTTAATTCCATCTATCGCATTCGTTGAAGGTGGAATGTCAATCTCAATAGCTGGTTACCAATTCCTTGGTTTGCCATTAGATTTTGCAGTCATAAACGAGACCGTCGCTGATATTACCAACAATTCCTTTGTGTTACAAAAGATGCATCGAGCAGGAAGCATTAAAGTTGGTTTCTTCTCGCACTCTTCTTCTGAAGCATTGTCAATGTCTGAACTATTGCTAGTTCCTCAACCAATCGTGGATAAGGTAGTCCCCTTTCTGTCTCTGCCAGCTAGCAGGAAGTCGATTACTATAATAGGCCGAGGGATGCACAAGGATATTACTTTGTACTGTACTGCTCTGGGAAAGACTGAGCGCGCTGTCTATCTAACGTCATCAATGATTAGTTGTTTGATAAAAGGGATCTTCAACACGAGCAATGTAAATGTCAAATTCCACGTTTTTGAAGATCAGCTTTTGTACCAACATCATTTGAGAATATTTCATTCAAAAGGTCCATCTCCAGCCGTATATCCTTCATCAGGTCCTCACAAGGGAGGCTTTTATGTGACCATTCTTGGCCAATTGCCTGAGAATACTGGTGATGTGTATTGTCTATTTGGAAGCAATAAGACTTCTGCCTTGATGGATTTTCAGAATAAGAGTTGTAAAGTACCATATTCTCCTATTGGAAATAGCACAGTTTCATTGTCATTCGACAACGGTCTAACAGTATTCATAGATTTTCTATTCGAATTTCGACCATTACCTCGAGTTCTGCTGATTTCACCCTCTGTTGGAATCAAGGGCTACACTCAGAGTATTACGGTAAAATTATCGGAAGCCAGCATTGTTGGACATGCTGTTTGCGGAGTTTTGAACAGTTCTTCCAAAAATTCCACATGTATGCGACTGAATGCAACAGATTTAGTCTGTGTACTTCCTGCTTGCGAGCTCACTGGACGTTTTCAGGTTTTCTTTGAAATTGAAGGTGAAAGAATTCAATGCAATCAAATGTTCACTTACATTGATATGCCACAAATACGATCAGTAACATACAACAAAAGGTATGACAGGCTTGAATTCATTGGGAAGGAGATTTCCAACAGCTCAGTTGTACACTGTACAATAAATGATGAGATTTTCCTTGGGCAAACTATACCTCCATCTCTCATCTTTTGCAACATTCCTCATCGGCCAACAGCAAAATTGCAAGGGTTTGTCCTGATCTACAACGGAATTGAGCTCTATCGTGACAACTTGTCTACCCCTGCAATGTCTCAAAAGATATTCTCAATCATCCCAGCAACTTCTCTTTCGGCGTCATCTGACATCCTCACAGTACATGGGGAGAATCTAGACTCATTCTTAAGTATCTACGTGACGTCGAAGGATTTCCCTTACCGTGTATCCTTGCCCACATCTTTTTTGTCAACTTCTCTGCTCCATTTCAGACTTCCTGCCCTTGATCCTGGAATTTATGAAATCACGATCTGGAACAGTCGTTTTCAAAATTTCGTCGGAGTAAACGAATTTTCTCACATTCATTTGCATGAAGTCAGGATGGTTCCTAAAGTGTATACACTTGAGCCCACTAAAGTGTGCTCAAGCTCAACAACCACGATAAGCGTTAAGGGACAAGGGTTTGACTTCAAGAGGTGCGTCTGCTTGTATGAAAACCTCAGCATGCTTTCTAAAAATGTGAATGCTACACAAATTTTATGTGATACACCTGCTTTATCAACCAGTTTTGTTAATTTATACCTGAATTGCACCAATGATCTGAAAACTTACTTTCATTTTTCTGTTGGAGTCTTGGAAATACGTGAGCCTCCTGCCATTACTTCAATAATGCCTTATTTTGGACCATCAAACAGTGATTTCTGGGTAATGATATTAGGAAGCAGTTTTGATAGTGATTCAAGGTGTAACGAGGGCAGCACTACCTTGATCACTCAATTCATCTCCTCGACAAGATTGCGTTGCTATATACCTCCTCATACTGAAGGATCTTTCGCTTTTGACGTGGATTCATATGTCCCAACCGCACAGTTTGTGTTCCATTTCTACAATCAACCAATTTTACTTGATTTGTTCCCAAGACAAACCCGTATCAATTCTGGGGATTCTACAATCACCTTAATTGGTCAACACTTTTTAAATAACCCGACTGCATGCCTTTCCAATAGCAGGTTTGCAGCGACCTATGTAAGTAGCTCCAAGGTCATAACAAGCATTGCTGTTGAGAGACCAGGATTTTATGGCCTATTCCTATCATTTAATGAAGTCACTAGCAGCAATCACATGACCTTTGAAGCGATAAACTCTAGCGTGATTAAGTTCTACCCCTCATTGGGTCCAATCCACGGTGGCTTGAGAGTTACCATGGACGGTGAATTCCCTCCAAGGCCGAATTCTCAATGTTATTTTGGAAGCGAATCTGTTCCAGTTCACCAACAGGAAGCAGAATTCTATTGCATTCTTCCTGCGACGCCTCATTCAGGGCAAACTTTTGTTGGCTTGTCGTTTGGCAACTTTAGAGTGGGAGCAAGGCAAGTTTTTATTTACTACTCGCAGCTGAAAATTACTACAATCTATCCTTCTATCATATCTACACGAGGCGGTACAGTGATCACAATACAAAGCCACCATGGCTTTCAAATAGATTTGATCTTGAAAGTTGTATTTGACTCGCATTTAGTGAGAAGTGCTAAATTCATTGGATCGAGTCAAGTCATAGTGTCCACTCCTTCCTTGCCTCAAAAAACTCAAGTCAAGGTACAACTCACATATGATGAATATCACTACTCCAATAGCGTATTACTTGCCTTTTCATCTGCCGCTATTGTAAATTTCATCAAACCATCAAGAACAACTACCTTCGAGAGTGTACTCGTCACCATCTTTGGAGTGCACTTTGCGGAATCGCTCTGCCTTCGGTTAGGTCAGACTCTGTGCAAAAATGTAGAATGGTTGTCCTCAACTATGTTGACAGCAACGTTGGATACAATCCTCAACCCCGGCAATCATACTGTCCAAGTGGGTAACGATTGTGTTTTCAATATGGATTTTGGCAGAACTGCAGTATTGCATGTTGACAGATCGATACATCACGCTCAAATGCAATCTGATGACTTTGATAAAGCTACTATTCCGGTGGTGATTGAAGTAAGACCGTCTGCTGTTGGCGTATATGAAGCTTCTATCGTTACTGTCTTCGGAAAGAATTTTCCAAACAACTCTCAGATATCCATAAGCACATTAAGCTCAGTTGCAGAAGTTGTTCAGATATCTCAAACATCAATCGCAATCTCCGTGAATTGTACGAGGCATGGTGACCATACAATGGAATTGTGTTTTGATCGCAGAAATTGCTTGCAAGATGCGATCATGATTCGATGCATGATTCGACCCACGTTTCTTTCGATAACACCCACTTCGCTGTACAACGATCAAGTCACTATCGTAGGCAATTCATTTCAATTCCTCCAACGAAAATGCTTCTTTGGATCTGTTGAGGCAACAGCAACGTTGGTAGACAATGAAATAATCGTTTGTGAGAGGCCTCCTCATTTGGAAGGAAACTTTACGATTTCCTTGATTGACATTTCTGGGCAAAGCTTACAACTGGCCAATACAAGTGTCCAGCTGAACAAATACATTAAGTTTCTTACGATTGAACCTGCTTTTTTGCATTCAGATGAAAGAACAGTGCTGACTGTCAAAGGTGAAAATTTTGTTTTGGATTGTATGTACTGTTTGATTTCTTCGAGGCCGTTTCCCGCTGTTGTACTGAGCAGAGAAAAGATGACATGCACACTTGAAAGGGTTTCAGCAGGAATATACCCATTGACTTTGGTTTGTGGGAATCAGACCTTGCCGACAGGTATCGAGTTACGATTTGAAAAGAGCCGTGAAGGGCTATCCCTTGATGCGTACCCAAGAGCCTTACCACGAATGGATGGGAAAGTTGTAAGGATCAAGATAAATAGATCAGATTCTTTGTGGTATGATGAATTATTGGGGAATGTCACTTGTCATTGGGAATCTGAACAGACTAGAGGACACTACCAACCACCTCAACACGTGGTATGCAGAGTCCCTCTGCTTGAAATTGGTAACACCAGGTGCACGATTTTCTTAGACAATCAGACGTACTTTGGTAATTTTGAAATTGAAGTGTATGAAACTCCCATTCTTCTGTATCTTCAAAGCTATGACAGAGCTGCGGAATGGTTCAAAGTGAAGGTTGCAAACATATCATGCCAAAACTCTTATGAGTTTCACCTTGGACGAAACAAAATAGATTCTTGCGAGTGTTCGCTAGATGCAGTTAAATGTCCTTTGCCACCAAATTTGAAATCCGAAAATCAGACATTCGCGATTTCTATTCAACAAGAGATCCTATCTGAACTCCTCATTTCACTTCCGTTGGCACTGGATCTTCAAGCTCGAGAAGTAATTCCCTCCGTAGGACCTTCCGCAGGTGGCGTTGAGATTAACGTCCTTCTCGACGACCAAGGGTGGTCGTTCCGTGGGAGTGCTGCCTGTGAGATGAATGGCATCATGACGCCTGGATCATTCACTCAGTCTGACGTTGTGCAATGCTACCTTCCACCAGTCTTGCAAGGTCTGGTGAGCATTTCGGTACACATCGGTAACCACCACAGCCAAGGCCTGGGATTCTTGGTGTATGAGCCTATGAAGGTGTCTGCTGTGCTTCCTTCTGAAGGGCCCACTGCATTGAAGTCCATGGTGACGATATTGGGCTCTCACTTCCTCGCGGAAGCCGGGCTTGCGTGCTGGTTCGATCAGACACCTTCGAGCGAACCAGCTCAAGTCTTGACGTCTACATCTTTGACCTGCGTCGTCCCGGCATTACAAGCTGACGGCGTCCAAGTGACAATCAGAAGCATGGATGACAAGGTGCAGGGAGAGAGTGTGCAGTATCTGCTGAAGCAGGTCCCACACATCAAGAACGTCCAGCCGACACAAAGCGATAGTGCCACAGATCTCATCACGTTGATTGGCGAGGGGTTCAGCGGTTCTTTGCTACAGTACTGCCGGTTTGGGTATCAGCATCTACGATCAAGGTTGACGCCGCTTTCGGCCTCGGCAGTTGTGTGTGAGCGACCAACGAAGGCCGTGGGCAACATGTCGTTGACCTTGGAGTCAGAGGATTCGAGTCACAAGAGCATGCCATACACGATCATGTTTCACTCTCGTGAATCTGTGATGACCGCACAGCCGTCCATGGCAGACGTGAGTGGCGGCACAGCGGTCTACGTCAGCGGGGTATTCCCTCCGCATGCTTCAATCGAATGCGTGTTTGATCAGCTCAGAGTCAAGTCGTCGCTCATCTCGTCCACTCAGGTCAGGTGCACAGCTCCCCCGCATGATGCAGGGGAGGTCCATCTCGAGCTGCTGATAGGAAACAAGCGATCACTTGTAACGAGCTCGTTCTCTTTTGTTGACGCTGGAGTCCCAGAAATATCCAACGTGATACCTCGGCGAGCTTTATCCAACAAAGGAGGAGTGGTGACGATATACGGTCAGAATTTCTTGCCTGGACTAAGCCTCTGCGAGGTCGGCGGAGACAGCACTGCAGTCATGGGAGACTCCAGATCGATGGTGACATGCAATCTTTCTCCACAGCCCCAGGGGAAGTATGAGCTATCAATATACACACCTGCAGTAGATGGCTTCTCAAACAAGATACTCATTTCATACGAAGCAGCCCCGACGGTTTCTGGATATGTGAATGGGGTACTTCACTCATCCATTACAGTGATCGGGTCTCATTTCTTGTCGGTGGAGGACCTTGTCTGCCGTTTGAACGCCTCGTCATCTCAATCTCAACCCGGACAGTGGCTGTCATCCAGTCTGGTGAAGTGCTCGATTCCCCAACGCCATGAAGGTCCGACAACGCTGAGCGTCTCGATGTCTGGGCTTGATGAGTGTGTTGGAGATGTCGTGTTTGAGGCTGTTCCAAGATCGAGGGCAATCTTGATCACTCCTACCATTGGTCCATTGGGAGGTGGTACTCGGGTTGAGGTGTCGGCAAGCGACTTTCCACAGAGAGGTGCTTTATGCTGGTTTGGGCAGCTAGCGGTCGAAGCAGAAGTAGTTGAGAGCGACAAGGCTTATTGCATAACACGAGCAGTCGAATATCCAGGAGCCGTCAAGTTCGGAATAGGACAAGAGCGGGAGGAAAGGGACAGCCTTGACCTGATCTTTGAGTTTGCGATGCCTCCGAGCATTTCTGGTATCCATCCTTTGCAAGTGCCACGAGTAGACAACACGATTGTGGAGGTAGAAGGAGTCAACTTCAGAGAGGACTCCATGTGGTGTCGAGTGGGGACCCAAGTCACCGCCGCAAGGACTGCGTCCTCGACGTTGCTGCATTGCATCGCCTCAGCAACGCGTGAGGAGCCGAGGGTATACGTTGAGGTGTCGCTCAACGGAGTCGACTTCACGCAGGACGAGAAGGTGTTATCCTTCTACGAGGCGCCTGAGGTGCACCGGATCGAGCCCTCATGCGGACCCGAGAGCGGGGAGACCCCGGTGACGCTGATAGGGAGAGGCTTCGAAGCGGACGCGGGGGTGGGTTGCAGGTTCGGAGAAGGCTCGGAGCCGAGCAGGGGGCGATGGATAGCTGCCAACATGATTAGCTGTACGACGCCACGGCACGACGCCGGGAACGCGACTCTGAGTCTCCAGGTGTTAGGGAGCTGGTTTAGCACGGGGACAAGCTTCTTGTTTCTGCGAGGCTTCGCGGTCTCGCACTTGAAGCCTCGCAGGCTCTTCTCGCATCAGACGGGCAGCATCACGGTGTTTGGCCGTGGCTTCGACTATAAGTCAGAATACTGGTGCGACTTCCGACATGATGAAGCGCATCCGCAACTGGCAGTCTGGCTGACCTCGACTAAGCTTGCTTGCCTGTCGCCGAGTCAGACGCCAGGGGAAAAGCTGCTGTATGTCTCTCAAGATGGCGGCGCGATGACATCAGAGCTCGTGCTGGAAGTGATAGCAGCCCCTGAGATCACAGATGTAGTGCCATCGCTAGGGGTGACCTCCGTTCCTACAAGGCTGGAGGTTGTGGGATCAGGCTTTCAAGACGGGTTTCTCTGCTGTATGGGCACGACCGTCTTGCCTTCGTCGGTTGTGTCTGACAGCAAGATTGAGTGCACAATTCCTGCCACAGCCGTCCCGGAGGATCTGACGATTGGCATAGGCATGGAAGATACTGAGTGCACAGAGCATCCGAGCGGTCAAGTGCGGATCATGGAGGCGTGCTCTCTAGTTTCAGCGTTGCCAGACGTGGGCTCCTCAAGCGGGAGGAACGAAAGCGTCATTCTGACAGGAAAGGGGTTTGTGAAGGAACAAGATCGTGAGTGCTGGTTCGGGGCGGCGAAGTCGACGAGCTTGTGGCTCTCGTCAAGCCTCGTGACCTGCGAGCTGCCGCCGCATCCAGCAGGCTCAGTGGTGATATCGCTATCTATGCAAGGAGTGAAGTACTGCGAGAGCAGCTTCAACTTCACCTACCTTGGCGAAGCATCGGTACAAGCTATCAGGCCATCGGCTGTTTACGAGACTGGAGGCACTGAGGTCACGCTGTCGGGGCACTTCATGCACAGGGTCACCTTTGAGTTGCTGGTAGGCGACCATGCGATGTCTTGTCAAGTCCAAGACTCGGACCAGGCCACATGCGTGACCCCCCCCAAGCTCAAGGGAGTCTATCGCCTGAGACCCTCGGCACACAGCATGGAAATCAACCCAGCGTGTGTAGTACGATACGTGGGCTTACCCTCTGTGTCCAGCATACATCCAACGTCAGGCCCCAGCCAGGGAGGGACACGTTTGCTCCTCGAGGGAGAAGACTTCGAGGCTGAGATGTTGCTGTGTGCGTTTGCAAGAGTGCGAGTGTGGGCAGAGGTACGATCGAGTACTGTCTGTGAGTGTGTTGCGCCAGCGTCGTCTGAGGGAGGAGGGAGGACGAGCCTTCGCCTTGTGATACGAGACGTTGATTACATAGTTGGAGAGCAAAGCTACATTTACTACGAGCCACCCCGGATCGATGAGATCAAGCCGTCGGCAGCAAGGGTGGGGCAAGAGGAGAAGATCACCATCCTCGGGAGGAATCTGGACAGGGAGTGTGGGATCACTCTCGGGTCTCAGCGGGCAGAAGTAAGCGAGTATGTCTCGTCCACCATGGTGGTAGTGTTGGTGCCTGGGCGTGCAAGGTCAGCGTGGCAGGGGAACATGACTGTTGGGATCAGCAGGAATGGAGTTGACTGGGACACCCATGGGTTTGGGTACGAATGGACTTCGGGCTTTGTGGTGATGAGGATAGAGCCTTCAGTCGGGGGCGTGGACGGAGGAGATTGGATCAGGGTGGAGGGGTATGGGTATGCAAAGGAGGTGGTGAACATCAACTTTGGTGATCGTCAGGCCAGGTGTAATGTGACTTCGGAGTGGGAAGTGAGCTGCCTGTCTCCTCGCGGCGAGGCAGGGCAAGTGTCAGTGTACGGGGAAGGGTCGAGGGAGACAGAGGGGGCGTGGTTTGTGTATCACCAACGGGTACGGGTCGAAAAGATCTGGCCGACATCTGGTTCACTGGAAGGTGGAGATACTGTGATGGTCTTTTTACAATCAGGATTGATTGCAGGAATGGATGGGTTTTGCAAATTTTGCAATGTATCTGTCAAGGCAGTTCTTAGTAGGGACAGAAAGGTTTTCATGTGCAGATCACCGAGTCATACGCCTGCTGTTTGCTACTTTGGTTTCTTTTTTCAGTCTCAAAAGAAAGCATTGTCGGAGGATCTTGTTTTCGAATTCTTTGAGCGACCTCATATTGACTTCATCAAACCCTTGATAGTCTTGAAGGATATCTCTTCCAGCATCAGCGTTTTTGGATCTGGTTTGTCGCTGAAGAATCTTTACATCAAAGCTGGATTAGCGCCCGAAGAAAAACTTGTTGTCCTGAGTGATGATTCTGGACATTTTCCTATACACCGTACAATCACTGGGAACTTGTCGATCACGATTCTTGATGATTCGTTCTCGCCAGTTTATACAGCTCAGATTTCAGTCATAGATCAAATACTATTGACATCTGTATCTCCTCAAATATGGTATCATGATACCAACTCTTTTTTGGTCACCATCATTGCAAAGGATCTGCCGCAAATTGCTCAGACATCGTCGCTCTCATGTAAAATTGGAGCTTATTCGTCACCTCTTGAGCAGTGTGGGTTTGAATTGCAAGGATGTAGATTACCATTTCTTGATGAAGGTTCACATACGCTATCTTTGTTCTTTTCAGGAATCAGAGTGTCAAAGAATGAATTATTGATTCACAGATTTGTTTGCAGGTTTGACAGAATATTTCTTTTGAATGAAGAAAACATCCTGGTTTTGGGAAAGTTCCTTGTTGGGCAGACGTATCATTGCAAATTTAATTCGTCCTACAGTCTTCTGGCGATGATGATATCAAGTACTAGTATAACATGTGGAAGTCCATCGTTAATTGAGATAAACCATTTTGAAATATTCAGCAATGATTCTGTCTGCAGCGGAGAGAATGTGACATTCATGGAACCAATCCCCAGCATAGATCAAGTAGCAGTCGACTACATCAGTACCCCAGGAAAAGTTCTCTTAGAAATTTCGGGATCCAATTTTCTAATAACAAATCTTTCGAAATGCAAAGTTGGATCCCACATCTTCGGCAAGGATGAGATACATCAAAAATCTCCAATATTGTTATCAATTTCGACCCATACAAACATCCTTGCAAGAAACAGCTCTGTAACACTTTCAAATGATGGAAAAATATTCTCCAGGCCATTCTTCCTGAACGAAAACATGCATTTGATAAAAAATATTTTCCCCTCCGTAGGACCTTCCGCAGGTGGAGTTGAGATAAACGTCCTTCTCGACGACCAAGGGTGGTCGTTCGGTGGGAGTGCTGCCTGTGAGATGAATGGCATCATGACGCCTGGATCATTCACTCAGTCTGACGTTGTGCAATGCTACCTTCCACCAGTCTTGCAAGGTCTGGTGAGCATTTCGGTACACATCGGTAACCACCACAGCCAAGGCCTGGGATTCTTGGTGTATGAGCCTATGAAGGTGTCTGCTGTGCTTCCTTCTGAAGGGCCCACTGCATTGAAGTCCATGGTGACGATATTGGGCTCTCACTTCCTCGCGGAAGCCGGGCTTGCGTGCTGGTTCGATCAGACACCTTCGAGCGAACCAGCTCAAGTCTTGACGTCTACATCTTTGACCTGCGTCGTCCCGGCATTACAAGCTGACGGTGTCCAAGTGACAATCAGAAGCATGGATGACAAGGTGCAGGGAGAGAGTGTGCAGTATCTGCTGAAGCAGGTCCCACACATCAAGAACGTCCAGCCGACACAAAGCGATAGTGCCACAGATCTCATCACGTTGATTGGCGAGGGGTTCAGCGGTTCTTTGCTACAGTACTGCCGGTTTGGGTATCAGCATCTACGATCAAGGTTGACGCCGCTTTCGGCCTCGGCAGTTGTGTGTGAGCGACCAACAAAGGCCGTGGGCAACATGTCGTTGACCTTGGAGTCAGAGGATTCGAGTCACAAGAGCATGCCATACACGATCATGTTTCACTCTCGTGAATCTGTGATGACCGCACAGCCGTCCATGGCAGACGTGAGTGGCGGCACAGCGGTCTACGTCAGCGGGGTATTCCCTCCGCATGCTTCAATCGAATGCGTGTTTGATCAGCTCAGAGTCAAGTCGTCGCTCATCTCGTCCACTCAGGTCAGGTGCACAGCTCCCCCGCATGATGCAGGGGAGGTCCATCTCGAGCTGCTGATAGGAAACAAGCGATCACTTGTAACGAGCTCGTTCTCTTTTGTTGACGCTGGAGTCCCAGAAATATCCAACGTGATACCTCGGCGAGCTTTATCCAACAAAGGAGGAGTGGTGACGATATACGGTCAGAATTTCTTGCCTGGACTAAGCCTCTGCGAGGTCGGCGGAGACAGCACTGCAGTCATGGGAGACTCCAGATCGATGGTGACATGCAATCTTTCTCCACAGCCCCAGGGGAAGTATGAGCTATCAATATACACACCTGCAGTAGATGGCTTCTCAAACAAGATACTCATTTCATACGAAGCAGCCCCGACGGTTTCTGGATATGTGAATGGGGTACTTCACTCATCCATTACAGTGATCGGGTCTCATTTCTTGTCGGTGGAGGACCTTGTCTGCCGTTTGAACGCCTCGTCATCTCAATCTCAACCCGGACAGTGGCTGTCATCCAGTCTGGTGAAGTGCTCGATTCCCCAACGCCATGAAGGTCCGACAACGCTGAGCGTCTCGATGTTTGGGCTTGATGAGTGTGTTGGAGATGTCGTGTTTGAGGCTGTTCCAAGATCGAGGGCAATCTTGATCACTCCTACCATTGGTCCATTGGGAGGTGGTACTCGGGTTGAGGTGTCGGCAAGCGACTTGCCACAGAGAGGTGCTTTATGCTGGTTTGGGCAGCTAGCGGTCGAAGCAGAAGTAGTTGAGAGCGACAAGGCTTATTGCATAACACGAGCAGTCGAATATCCAGGAGCCGTCAAGTTTGGAATAGGACAAGAGCGGGAGGAAAGGGACAGCCTTGACCTGATCTTTGAGTTTGCGATGCCTCCGAGCATTTCTGGTATCCATCCTTTGCAAGTGCCACGAGTAGACAACACGATTGTGGAGGTAGAAGGAGTCAACTTCAGAGAGGACTCCATGTGGTGTCGAGTGGGGACTCAAGTCACCGCCGCAAGGACTGCGTCCTCGACGTTGCTGCATTGCATCGCCTCAGCAACGCGTGAGGAGCCGAGGGTATACGTTGAGGTGTCGCTCAACGGAGTCGACTTCACGCAGGACGAGAAGGTGTTATCCTTCTACGAGGCGCTTGAGGTGCACCGGATCGAGCCCTCATGCGGACCCGAGAGCGGGGAGACCCCGGTGACGCTGATAGGGAGAGGCTTCGAAGCGGACGCGGGGGTGGGTTGCAGGTTCGGAGAAGGCTCGGAGCCGAGCAGGGGGCGATGGATAGCTGCCAACATGATTAGCTGTACGACGCCACGGCACGACGCCGGGAACGCGACTCTTAGTTTGATTTTACTGCATTCGCACGTTGTTTATTTAGATTTCAAATTCTTGTTTGTTCAATCTCCAGCTCTATTAGAAGTGTTTCCGTCTAGAGTTTCAAGGCTTGGCAGTCAATTGATAAGCTTGAGAGGAATCTTTCCTCCCGCCTACAAGCAATGGAAGTGCTTGTTTGGACAGCAGTTTACTCATCTTGCGTTGGTTTCTTCAAGTGTTGCTCGATGCTTTGTACCTCTCGCAAGGCAAGTTGGTATTTCAAATGTCTCGCTGCAATTTGCATTCGATCGCTCATCGAATGTGATGACAAATTCGAAGCAAATTGAAATATTTGAAGATACTTTTATCTCTGGTGCCTTTCCATCGTCTGGTCCTTTGGATGGAGGAACAGTTCTGACAATCACAGGAACCTTCATTGTCTCGTCATCTTTCTGCAGGTTTGGCGATGAGGCGGGAGCTGCTTTCAGATTTTTGACGTCAACGTCTTGTTCGTGTTTGTCCCCGCCCCATGCTAAAGGCATGGTGCAAGTTTCCGTTGTTTCGAAATTTTCCCAATCGCATGGAGGCGTTTGGTTTGAATATTACAGCAGATTCTCTCTTGCAGGTATATTCCCGACTTCAGGGAGCCATCGGGGTGGTTATCCCATAACTGTCTTAGGATACTTTCCAGATGCTTTTGCTGTCAAGTGTAGATTTGGCGAGACGATTGCAGACCTTCATAGAGTGAATAAGACACATGCTATCACTTGGGTACCTAAGAACGCCTTGGGTTATGTTCAATTCACTCTAGTTCAAGACAGTCAACCTCTCAAGACATCAGTAGTTGTATTCTTATACACCTCCGATCAACATGAATGGAATCTTGTTCCAGAATATGCATATAGCTGTGGTGGCTCAAGATTGTATGCTGTATGCTCTGGCCAAGTAGATTTTCAATTCTCTCCATATGTCTCCTGCAACTTTGATGGTCATCGTGTGCGAACTGTGTGGATGAATTCGACTTCAGTTTCCTGTATTTTCCCAGGGGGGGCTCCTAAGAGAATGCAGTTTGAGTTGCTTTTGGGAGACAGTATACTGTCAAGAACTCATTTGAATGTGATTCCGACGCCTTTACTGTTCGATATATTCCCGAATAATGCTCCGAGCACAGGAAACACGAAAGTTCAAATCTATGGCATCCATTTTGTGCAAGATGACTGGAAATGTGCATTTACTTTCAGGTTTCGAAATGGGACCCACACCATTTTTACAGCTGGAACATTCATGTCTTCAACTGCTTTGCAATGCCTTTCCCCAAAGTCAAATGTTGCTGTTTCTGAGTTTCGAATAAGCTTTGTTGCTCATGAATTGATGTCTGATGAAAAAATATTTCATCACTGGCTGCCGTCGCAAGATATTCTTGTGAATCCTACACAGATCCTGGCAAATGCTGCAAGTATTGTGACTGTGACTGGCAGCATTAACTGGAATGCAGATGTACGGGTGAAATTTGCAAAGGTTCAATCGAAACGTCTCACACAGAAGAATCAAAACAACTCTTTCGAGGTGCAGTACGCGTTGGAGCCAGTCCCACTGATTTCCAATGTTTCTATGTATGTGAGCTTCAACAATATAGACTTTGAATTAACTTCAGCAAAACTCAACCTTGTCACAGCTAATATGTCACAGAAAGTACCCTCTGTCGAACTGGTGACATGCCAGCCTTCAGTCGGATTTCTGTATGAGAGTACCAGTGTATATGTACATGGACAAAACTTTTCCATGCATATGACCACAACTTGTTACTTTGGATCCCAAAACGTACGTGCATCAGTCGTGAATCGATCACTTGCCATTTGTCATACACCGATTCTAGATGCTCCCTCGCAGGTGAAGTTCAGCCTCAAATCGTCTTCATCAGAGTATATTGCTAACGGCGGCATGTTTCCATTCGTGCAAAGACCGAGAATAGATCAAATCATTCCAAATCGTACAAACACCAAAGTGAGCACAATAACCATGATTGGTGTTGGACTTTCATCCCCGTTCCTTACCTTGAAATGTCGAATGGGTGAAATTGCGGATCACGAGGCTTCTATTCTCAGTTCTTCAATGCTTCGTTGCACTTTTGTCTCTTTGAATGTAGGGGAGAATAAAATCAACCTGTTTTGGAGGGAATTTCCGTCAATCCTCATGGAACATGTTCTGATTTTTCAGAATACTTATGTTCTCTCGATCTTTCCTTCTTATGGAAGCGAACAGGGTGGTTCCTATGTCACGGTCCTAGGCAATAATTTTCAGGTGGAATCCACCTACAGATGTCTTTTCGGATCATTCAGATCAAAAGCGGCCTACATCAATTTTACTTCCATTCAATGCACCGTTCCTGAAGGAACTGTGGGTAATCACTCCTTTCGTGTGACTGACGGCCAAAACGAGCTGTATCAAACGAAGTTGAACTTTGAATTTTTGAGTGAGGATTTCAGAATTTTGTCTATCCAGCCTTCCTTTGGATTCCTTTTTCGACCAACTCTTTTGCTATTGAAGCTTTCCATATCTGTTTCAAAATTCAAAAATATTTCTTGCATTGTTCGATCTCAACAATATGAGGCAAGCCCGGCTCCTTTTGATTCAATCACCTGCCAAGTTCCGAATGAGATTGAAGGAATATTTGAAGTGTCTGCAAGAATGGATCATCTATCAAGCATGAATTCTCTCAAGATCATCGTACGTAAACCCCCACGAGTCTGGGAAATATCACCGAAAGTTCTTCGATCGTTTCGACCATCGATTGTCACAGTGATAGGAGAGAGTTTTGATGTGTCATCACACAGATGCATCGTAGCTGAAAAGCATATGATGATGACTGTCATGGCGTCTAGCACGAAACTTACTTGTGTGTCGCTTTCTTTACGTGAAGGAAATCATAGCTTCCAAGTATATTTCAGTGCTCCATCCTTCGTATCTGATGCATTTGAAACTGAATGGTCATCGCAACAATTCAGTATTTTGTCAATTTCAAGTGGTAATATCGAATTGGTTCCAAGTTCTGGATCAGCTGCAGGAGGAGACTATGTGTCAGTTGTCTTGAATGTTGAACAACACAATTTGCAAGTTCTCTTTGATCGCACAGCATCGTCCTGTGAGAAAAAGTCACGATTGTTGTTTGTCTGTGTTACTCCAAAGCACTCAGCAGGTTTCGTTACGGTGGAAGTATATGAATCGTCTTCCTATCCTCGGGTCATGTTGGAAACACTGAAATTTGAATTCCTTCAATTTGCTGCTCGAGTAATTTCATTGTTTCCTTCCGAAGTTTGTACCAATGATACATCTTTGATAACAATTTTTGGTTCGTCTTTTGAAAGTCAGGGGAAGTGCAAAGTTGGACAGAAATTTGTACCCACAAGATTTGTAACCTCATCCAAGCTTGTATGCCACATTCCTTATGTCTCCCCGTCAGTACAAGCAGTGGAGTACGGGTTGAATGAGAAGGACTGCACGAGTGATAGACACCTGTTGAAATTTGCTTCTTTCCCGTCCATGGAAGTGATGCCTTCAGTGATTTCCTGGAGCAAAGATCTCCAACATGATATCACTGTGAGGGGCAGCAATTTGGAGATGTTGAACAATTCATTATGCTCGTTTCAGAATCGAAGGTCCGGCATTCAAATCATTTCCTCAACTACAGCGAAGTGCACCATTTATTTGCAACGTGCGGGTAATTTTTCGTTTAGAATTTCACATCCTGATGAAAGATGTGTTTTGACCGCAGCCATCCAGATTATAACCAGCTCGATTCGATTTTATCCTACTATTGGTCCAATATCTGGAGGAACCAAAATACTTATTTCTTACGATCCAATAATCAAAAAGAAAATTACTTGTCGTCCATTCCATTTTATATCAAGACCTTCAAGCTCTCAAATACAGTGTTTGACACCAATGACAACGACAGAGCAAACTATGTCTATCGACAAAATACTTGGCATGGAAAACGAAATTCATTCTGGGAATGCAGAATTTCTTTTTGTGAGACCCCCCACTATCACGAATTTGACACCTTCCTTCTGCAAACTCCAACAAAAGACGCAGATTCAAGTATACGGGACAGACTTCAGAGAGGACTCCATGTGGTGTCGAGTGGGGACTCAAGTCACCGCCGCAAGGACTGCGTCCTCGACGTTGCTGCATTGCATCGCCTCAGCAACGCGTGAGGAGCCGAAGGTATACGTTGAGGTGTCGCTCAACGGAGTCGACTTCACGCAGGACGAGAAGGTGTTATCCTTCTACGAGGCGCCTGAGGTGCACCGGATCGAGCCCTCATGCGGACCCGAGAGCGGGGAGACCCCGGTGACGCTGATAGGGAGAGGCTTCGAAGCGGACGCGGGGGTGGGTTGCAGGTTCGGAGAAGGCTCGGAGCCGAGCAGGGGGCGATGGATAGCTGCCAACATGATTAGCTGTACGACGCCACGGCACGACGCCGGGAACGCGACTCTGAGTCTCCAGGTGTTAGGGAGCTGGTTTAGCACGGGGACAAGCTTCTTGTTTCTGCGAGGCTTCGCGGTCTCGCACTTGAAGCCTCGCAGGCTCTTCTCGCATCAGACGGGCAGCATCACGGTGTTTGGCCGTGGCTTCGACTATAAGTCAGAATACTGGTGCGACTTCCGACATGATGAAGCGCATCCGCAACTGGCAGTCTGGCTGACCTCGACTAAGCTTGCTTGCCTGTCGCCGAGTCAGACGCCAGGGGAAAAGCTGCTGTATGTCTCTCAAGATGGCGGCGCGATGACATCAGAGCTCGTGCTGGAAGTGATAGCAGCCCCTGAGATCACAGATGTAGTGCCATCGCTAGGGGTGACCTCCGTTCCTACAAGGCTGGAGGTTGTGGGATCAGGCTTTCAAGACGGGTTTCTCTGCTGTATGGGCACGACCGTCTTGCCTTCGTCGGTTGTGTCTGACAGCAAGATTGAGTGCACAATTCCTGCCACAGCCGTCCCGGAGGATCTGACGATTGGCATAGGCATGGAAGATACTGAGTGCACAGAGCATCCGAGCGGTCAAGTGCGGATCATGGAGGCGTGCTCTCTAGTTTCAGCGTTGCCAGACGTGGGCTCCTCAAGCGGGAGGAACGAAAGCGTCATTCTGACAGGAAAGGGGTTTGTGAAGGAACAAGATCGTGAGTGCTGGTTCGGGGCGGCAAAGTCGACGAGCTTGTGGCTCTCGTCAAGCCTCGTGACCTGCGAGCTGCCGCCGCATCCAGCAGGCTCGGTGGTGATATCGCTATCTATGCAAGGAGTGAAGTACTGCGAGAGCAGCTTCAACTTCACCTACCTTGGCGAAGCATCGGTACAAGCTATCAGGCCATCGGCTGTTTACGAGACTGGAGGCACTGAGGTCACGCTGTCGGGGCACTTCATGCACAGGGTCACCTTTGAGTTGCTGGTAGGCGACCATGCGATGTCTTGTCAAGTCCAAGACTCGGACCAGGCCACATGCGTGACCCCCCCCAAGCTCAAGGGAGTCTATCGCCTGAGACCCTCGGCACACAGCATGGAAATCAACCCAGCGTGTGTAGTACGATACGTGGGCTTACCCTCTGTGTCCAGCATACATCCAACGTCAGGCCCCAGCCAGGGAGGGACACGTTTGCTCCTCGAGGGAGAAGACTTCGAGGCTGAGATGTTGCTGTGTGCGTTTGCAAGAGTGCGAGTGTGGGCAGAGGTACGATCGAGTACTGTCTGTGAGTGTGTTGCGCCAGCGTCGTCTGAGGGAGGAGGGAGGACGAGCCTTCGCCTTGTGATACGAGACGTTGATTACATAGTTGGAGAGCAAAGCTACATTTACTACGAGCCACCCCGGATCGATGAGATCAAGCCGTCGGCAGCAAGGGTGGGGCAAGAGGAGAAGATCACCATCCTCGGGAGGAATCTGGACAGGGAGTGTGGGATCACTCTCGGGTCTCAGCGGGCAGAAGTAAGCGAGTATGTCTCGTCCACCATGGTGGTAGTGTTGGTGCCTGGGCGTGCAAGGTCAGCGTGGCAGGGGAACATGACTGTTGGGATCAGCAGGAATGGAGTTGACTGGGACACCCATGGGTTTGGGTACGAATGGACTTCGGGGTTTGTGGTGATGAGGATAGAGCCTTCAGTCGGGGGCGTGGACGGAGGAGATTGGATCAGGGTGGAGGGGTATGGGTATGCAAAGGAGGTGGTGAACATCAACTTTGGTGATCGTCAGGCCAGGTGTAATGTGACTTCGGAGTGGGAAGTGAGCTGCCTGTCTCCTCGCGGCGAGGCAGGGCAAGTGTCAGTGTACGGGGAAGGGTCGAGGGAGACAGAGGGGGCGTGGTTTGTGTATCACCAACGGGTACGGGTCGAAAAGATCTGGCCGACATCTGGATCTGCTCTTGTCCGTACTCAGGTCACATTGACTTTTAAGCATTTAAAGGATGTCACCTGGATCTCATGCAAGGTTCAGAATTCTGCTATTACGACACTCATTATCTCCTCTTCAAGCATTGTTTGTGAGATACCTGCGCAACAAGCTCAACAATTGTCTATCTCCATATTTGAAAGCAATTTCTTCATTACAAGCTTTCCATTCAAACTGTTTGATTCTTCCACTTTCTTCCAGGTGAAACCGTCGACCTTCTTGGCAAATCAAGCATCAATCATGACCATCTTTGGTTCTAACTTTCAAGAGGAAGACTGGACCAAATGTATCTTCGGCATGAACAGAACTTTCCACGCTCTCTTCCTCACAAGTTCCATGTTGCAATGTACAGTTCCTGCTCTTTCAGTCGGAAATTATAGTGTTGTTTTCAAGAATTCTTATCTCAGCGTCCTGAATTCGTCCGCGATAATAATTGAGAGACCGGTGAAAGTAAGACATGTACTACCATCGTTTGGTCCAATCTCCGAAGCTTTTATTGTTCGAGTTGTTGGTGATGGATTTTCTGCGGAAAAGTCATATCAATGCTTGGTTGGTGAGAGCAAGACAGCAGCAAAGTGGATCAGTGCTGAGATGCTCTCCTGCTCAGTTCCTCCCCGGAACCAACCAGCTAAGGTTCCCTTCCTCGTCGCTGCAAGCTCGGAGGGCTTTTATGTGCCAGGCATGCTCACTTTCGTCTATCAAGATCCCTTCGCACTGTGGCGAGTTGAGCCGAGCCTGGGATCGATGCAGGGAGGGATTCTTGTCACTGTCGTTGGTGGGTTCAATCTCCAAGTCAAAGGTGTGACATGTTCGTTCGGCTCCCGCAGATCCCTCTCGTCCACACTTGTCTCCTCGTCTGAATTGATCTGTCAAGTTCCTGCGTGGCCAAGGGCCGTGGAGGTGACGACCATTCATTTGTTAGCTCAGGACGTTCCTATCTCTACTAAGAACCTCTCATTTCAATATTTCCCCGTGCCCCAGCTCCAATCGGCAGACCCCTCGGCTTCTGTCGCGGGTTGTTCGGTTGTGTTCACTGTGCATGGCAAAAATTTCGCATTCACAAATCGTATTCTTTGCAAGGTAGGGGAGGAAGTACTGTCTGCAGTCCTGAACAAGGATGATGAAATCATTTGCAATGGTACTTTGTATGCTATTGGAAATCAAAGTTTGTCAATATCCAACAACGCAGTAGAATATGCTGAATCGAACTTGACATTTTTGGTGCATAGTGAGATTAAAATTTCTCACGTCCTTCCTTCATATCTGTGGATGGATGAACGAATCAATATCACTGTATATCTGGAATCTAGCATGATTGACGCTGACTCAGTCTGTGTCATCGATGGTCAGATTTCTGGTATTCATATCATATCCTCTCAAGCGATCACTTGTCTCAGTCCGCGTGTTAACCACACAGAGATTGAAGTGTATCTACAAGTCCTCAGAACCCAGGTGAAGTCCAACTCTTTCAAGCTTGCGGTCATGCCAAGAATCACAATACTTGCGCTCTCTCCGTCGCTCGGTGCTGTCACTGGGGGAACGCGGATTAGCATCACTGGAAACAACTTCACTGTTGGACCAAGTTTGCAGTGTCAATTTGGTTCAATCAGAGTTCCAGGCATTGCTGTATCGAGTACAAGAATCACCTGCACATCACCAGGTTCAGCATTACCCATCGAGAGCAAAGTGCAGGTGGTTGATTACATCGGACGATACGCCTCGAATGATTTGGAGTTCATTTTCCACAAAGTTGTTGAGGTTCATCGTGTGTTTCCGATCTTTCTTTCCGCCCAGATGGATCAAACATTCACGATCTTTGGATCAAATTTCTTGAGCGAACTCTATTTCTCCTTTGAGTATTCCTCTGTGCTTAAAGGAGTCGTTTTGTCTGACAAACTTGCTGTCTGTAATGTGACATTCACAGAAGGGCAGAGTGAACTGTTGATCTCAACAAACAAACAAGATTGGAGCCAGACAGGTTTCACTATCTCATTTGCTCAACCTTTCAAGATATATTCTATCAGGCCATCGTTGGGATACCCTCATGAATATTTCATGGTGACAATCTTTGGTGAAAATTTCAATGTCAACAATTCTTACACCTGCTTCGTACAAAGGATAGACACGGCTGCTATGATGATAAGTAGCTCAATGTTGCTGTGCCCTCTCATTTACGATAGGAGCGCAAATCAAATTCAGATCTCCGTCTCGAGTGTAAATCAGACATCTATCGGAAACGAGTTGTTTTATCAAATTCAGTCTTCTCCTAGAATCTTCAGCTTTGTTCCAAGCAAGGCTCCTGTGCGATTGAATACTCCTATTACAGTGCAGGGTGAACAATTTGTTGATTCCGAAACAATTCTATGCAAGATCGATGATTCTGAATCTCCAGGGTATTTTGTAAGCACGTCCTTAATTATCTGTATAGCTCGACGAAACTCTCCTGGCATGTTCACATTGACGATTGATTTCAACGTTTCATCTACATCCGATTCTCCTATTTTCGTCTTCGAAGATGCGGCTCATTCTTATAATTATTCACAAGATTCGCTTAAACACTTTCGAGACAGGTATTCATCGCTGCTCTCTGTCAGGATTTCTGGAGTGTTCCCAACCATGGGATCCACAGAAGGAGGGCAAACACTGACCATCGCCGGTAGCTTTACCCGCTCGGATAGTCTAGTAGTTTTCTTCGACGATTTCAAAGCAAATCTTGATTTCGTCTCATCAACTGCCATGTCCTGCAGAAACCCAAAACATCGAGAAGGTCTGGTTTCCATTCGAGTATCATTCGACAATTTCGAGCCAACCAGAAAGATTGGCACTTTTAGATATCTCCAAGTGTGCCAGATGCAACTGCTCTCACAACAGAATGTTTTTGCAGAGAAAGCCCATGAAATCTTCGTTTTTGGCAAGTTTTTTGACGATTCCACTGTCTTCAAGGTGTCGGAGCAACAAGTTATGTCTGAGATGGTATCGTCGACCATGGCTTCTCTTCACGTACCACCCCTGTCGTACGGCATGGTCTTGATCTCCTGTTCAACAGCCAGCCTAGATTCCAACATCAAGCTCCCTGTGTATGTTCGAACTCCTTTGAAGATCCTGAAAATTTCACCCACCCAGGCGTTTATCGGAGAGCCTATACAGGTGCGGATGTTGTTGGATTATCTGCCGTACGAGGACACGTTCCACTGTCAATGGGGTACCACCAGGTGCAGGTTCATCAAAGAGGATGTTCACCTTGCAACCTGCGCGTGCCCTTTGGCGTCTGCGCCAGGCTCGTATGAAATCAGTATCACCAGCTGGGACTTCCACCTAATCTCTTCCTCTGTCGCTCAATTCAAGTACGACAAGTCCCGGTTCCTCGCTGAGCCTTCAAAGTCCTCGACCACAGGCGGTCAGGTTGTGACTATCAGTGGACTGTTACCTCTTGGACTCCTCTACTGCAAGTTCGATCAGAACGTCGCTCTGGCCCTGCGCTTGACTGCGAGTCAGATGTCGTGCCAAACTCCGTCACATGCACCGGCCCTTGTGAAATTGGCCGTCTTGTCGGGAGACACAATCTTATCCTCCGTTCCTTTCCTGTACCTCAGCGATCAGTTCGTGATTTCGCTCTTGCCGTCGTTGGGTCCCTCCCAAGGTCAAACGCCCATCAGTGTCATCGGCAGCCTTTTCAACCCTGACATCCATTACTCGTGCGTTTTCACATCCCAGAGAGATTCAGATTTGATCACCAGCAGCGAAGCATCGAATCATGTGGCTGCATACCCGCAAACTTCTACGTTGATTGTTTGCAATAGTCCTCCTCATCAGACTCAGGCAGTCTTCGTGTATCTTTCGGGTTCTGAACGAGTGATTCAACAAGACAACATGTTCATTTTCTATGATGCAGAGATATCTTCTCTGCGTCCTACATTAGTGAAGGAGCACGGGGGAACAAGGATCTCAGTTCAAGGGGGCGATTTTCCTGAGGCTCTCTCACTGATGTGTAAGTTCTCAGACACCTTGGTCAGCGCTACTTGGATTTCGATCTCGATGCTTGTCTGCGACAGCCCTGCTCTAAGTGAGGGTAGCAAGCAGCTGTTCGTCACTATCAACGGGCTTGACTTCATCTCAGCTTCATCTCAGATCGCAACGTTCAAGGACCCAACCCTCCTCGCATGCTCTTTGACAACTTTTGCTGACGGCTCAGCCTCGGTTGCCGTTGTCGGGCGATTTTTCACCGAGTCCATGTTTTGCAAGCTAGGAGAATACGTCTCTACCTTGTCGGAATTCGTCTCCTCCTCTTCGGTACTGTGTGGTCTTCCCGCTGCAGTCATTGGTGACAGAGCGAACGCATCGCTTCAGTTGTCAGGCAACGGAGTTGACTTCAGCAGCGGCTGTCCCCTGAAACTCAATGCAACGAGCAACAACGAGAGCTGGCAGCACAGGTGGCTTCTGAGCATGGATACAAAGGGCACCGTAGGTACACCATCTGTACAGGATTTCAGACGGTTGATCTCTGACGTCTTTAAGTATGAGCAACAACAAGACGAGTGTCAGGAGTCTCCAACAAGACTGTCCTTGATGTTCGACCTTGTAAACCCTCTCACAGGAAATGATTCAGCTGTTCTTTGCGATCCCTTCAGTGCCTCTCTGATGACTGCAAACCCTCCAGTCAGTTTACACTTGGCACTTGCCAACGTAAGAGCTGTCGACTCGATCTCCCAAACTCCTTGTGCATCAGTACAACTTTCACAAGAGCAAGTCGCCGTCACAGGAGCGTTGAGTGTTTCGTCTCAGAAATGGATATCTGCCGTCAACTCTGACGTCGAACATGGAGAGGTGTGCGTGGTTGCTCAGCTAGACGGCAAACAAGTCCAACACTGTCGAAACCTAAGGGTGCTGAGGATCAAGCAGATCATTCTGGATGGCACAAAGTGCACACCAAGTAGAGCAGCGCAACGGCACGATCTGACTCTCCAACCTTTCGTGCCAGTGTGCGCGCCGGTCTTGATCACATCTGAGCCATCTGCTCATCTTCTGCTGCACTGCTTGACGTCCGCGAGGTTCCATCTCATGGCCGAAGCTTCTCTCAATGTCACAACCTTCGGCATGTTCAGCTTGTCGCGAGCCAACAGAGAGCTACGTTTCCACTTGTACACACATGTTCAAAACTTACACGTATCACGTACAGACATGATCGAATCTTTTCCTGCAACCGTAGAACTAGAGAAATGAATTGCGCTTACGTATGATTGTGAATAAACTGTATTATCTGATCATGGCATGGTTTGTCCGTGGATTGTTTTTCAAGTAGCGTAGCAGTGGAGATGGTGCGCGCAGGCGGGGAGTGTGTGTGTATGCACATGAGTTTATCTATTATCCTATCAATTATCCTATCGTTTCTCCACCACTGTCAGTTATCTTGCGCAGGTACGGGGAGGATGGGAGGATGATGCTGGCCAACAGACAGACTCGGTTGCACAACGTTGGAAGGGGATGCGACCATGCTCGTAGCAGGAGCGCTACATTGCAGCAGCTCGCAATCAGTACGGACTGCACGGCCTACCTGCCGGCACCTGCCGGCGCGGCCAGTCGCTATGGAGTCACTGCTACTGGATGCATCCCCGCGGGTAGTGAAAAGAGGCGATCTGAGGGGAGCAAGCCGCAAGGTACTGAGGCGGGTCATCAGCAGGCAGTCATGTGACGGACTGCGACCCCGACGCATCTGCTACACCTTCGTAAAAATATTATAATTTAATTTGTTTGTCCGTGGAAAGATATCTTTTCAATGCATGCAGCAGTTGATGACAAGATTATGAAGTCAGACTCCTTGAACAGATATCTGTTTTTTATGGCATTCATCGAAAAGAATATTGTTCGGATCTTGGATGTACCTTGCTGACATAAAAACGATGGGGGTCCGCCCTCCGCCCCCCGCCCCCCTCCAAGTACAAAAAGAACTTCATCACCCGGCAGTTTCAAAACCATCTCATCTCACTTCGGACTGTGCCACCTCCCTGTTTGTCTACTTGAATCCTCTTTACCTTCTGCTCCTTTCTCCTTCATCCCCCCGACGTGCTAGCCCTCACGTCCATATCTTCTTGAATTAGCGAAACCATCCAAAACTTTCATCATGTCTGCGATAGAATCAATCTATTGGGACACACCTCTAGATGTGGATCCAGCCTGCAAGCAGCTTTTTGATGATTTTTATGGCTATTCTCCAACCATGTGTCCGGTATCAACTTCCAAGAACTTGATTACCGACTTCCGTATTTTCGAGAAGAAATCCCTGAGTCCTAAGTGCATGTTGGGTGGTTGTGACAGATCGTTCACGCCGAATAAACTTCGAGAAGAGAGAAGGAGAAATCATCGGAATCATCAGACATGCTCAGGTATCTCCAAGGGTATCATCACGTCCATCGGTTTTGAAGAATGCAAGCGAAAGAAATACAAACATCTCCGGGAAGCTCATGATTCGATTTAAGCCCTTTGATTCATATTCTCAGATTTGTTTGGTGTACAAAGGTTGTAACTCTAGCGTGTGAGGATACTTGATTTGACATGTATATTTATGGTTCACTTTGAATAAAGTCGTTGAATCCATCCATGTGTAGAGCAATTTACCACTGTCACCGCCACCACAACCAGATTAATACACAAGAAAAACAAACATACACAGAGTGTGTATGCTGTAAATTTCTCTCATTGCAGATTGAACCATTGTGCAATTCATAGAACAAGAGCAGCCATCTCTTCCAGATCTTCTCGAAAGCCACAAAAAGCTTGAAAAGGATAGTGATTCATCCTTCTCAGTTATGCTGGCGGGGACGATGTGTGAGGCAACTTAGTGTGTGCTGCGCTCCTTGCTTTCTCTTGGGACAAGACTTGAGAGACTCCTAGAGGCCAACGGGCCCTAACCTGTGATGAACATCAACGTGTGCGCAGGAGAGCACAACGTGCTTCACCTCAAGTTCGGTAGGATCTTCACAGACTCCGAGCCTTAGCCTCTCTACAGCAGCCCACGCTACCATCACTCCGTTGTCTGTAGACGGGTTCAGCGGCACAAGCCATTCATGGAAGCGACAGGCCTGTGCAGAGCCGAGCTGGGGGGAACACTGCAGTGATGTTGTAACTCTGAGCCTTGTCGGAGATTCTCGATCGGACGCACCTAGTGAGGACAGTCACTTATGTGCAGTGGCATCAGAAAAGCATGTCACTTGTTGGCTGCGACCCCTCCGCACACCACCAAGTGCTTCAGGTCGCTCATGCCCATCTCTTCCTTGCAGAGCTTCATGGCTCTCTCGATCCTATCCTCCAAATGCCTGCCAAGCCACTCCATGAATTGAAACGGGCCGAGCAAGGGCAATACCTAATCGCGACATGTTGGAACGAGGCAGCAATATCAGCAGCAGCTTGTGCGTCATTAAGAGGATTGGTGAGGTCTCCTCCTGCATTTTGTATCGCTAGCCGCACAGCCTGTGTCAACGTGTTTGTCATGATGATGACACCAAGACTGGCCGAGCAAGACCGTCTTGAGCCCAGCAAAAGAAAAGTGGCAATCCTTCCTCTTTGCCATCGGCACTCCAAACTTGATAGCCTTTGGGTTTCCTTTCTCTGCAAGAGCCTCCAAGGCAGCGCCGCCGCCTCCTGCCCCTCCTTTCAGTCTATGACTTGTTATTTCTCAACTCACCTCCCACGTCGAGTCCGAGCATTCTTGCCGACTTGTCATACGCCTCTCCTGCCATGCACACCATCATCGATCGCTTGTCAAACCTCGTCAAGACTGACCTAGAGAGTCGTCGAGAGTCCCGCCCAGCATCAAGTAGTCCCCGACCCCTCGGGCCACCAGGATCTGACAATGCCTTCGCGCATGTCAAGAGGATCAGGTGCAGCACACAGCATCACCCTCCAGACACGAGGAGCACGAGGAATGGAAACTTGACGTTCTGGTCCGCTTGCCGCACCATGAGCACGTGCGCCTCCAAGTGGTGGATGGACACGAAGGTCTTGGAGAAATTGAGGGCGATGTCACGGGCCTGCCTAGTCGTCAGTCCTCACAGCACAGGAATGAGAGCAGACCTGGTGGAAACCAACTCTCAGGCAGATCTCAAGGCCTGGCCCCATCGTGACGGCCACAGCGTCCAGCTGATCTTCGGTGACGTTCGCCTTCTCCAGTGCCTCCTTCACGACTTCCTCGATCGCGCTGGCATGGGCATCGCGCGCTAAGCCAGGCACCACACCTGTCAACATGCGCGACAGCAAGATCAGCCGAGGGAACTCTGGCAGGAGACAAGCAGACATTCACCTCCCCATGCAGCATGGATCTGATCTTGAGTCCTCTTTGACTCTCCCAGTATCCTCCCGCTGCTCTCAACGACTGCAGCTGCCGTATCATCACAGCTAGTCTCGATTCCCAGCACGACAAAGTCTCCCTTCCACCCCTCCATCGACGGCTCCGCATTGTAGGAAGCAGATCCCCAGCCATACTCCGACACCCCCTTGGGCGTTCCTACCTTAGCCTCCCGCATGACCGACAGAAGCGCCCAGCCATCCATCGTCCTCCTACCCTGCGAAGCTCTTGTCTGCGCTACCCGCTGTGCCCTGCAGCTGTCCCGCAATGAATGAACTTTGTTGCAGTACGGGCAGTTGGATGCCTTGCTGTTCTTGTCTGCACTGTCGTTGCCCCCCCTCAAAGTAATCTGCCTGTACGAGAAGAAGCCGCTGCCCACCCATCCCATCGACCTGCAGACCTTCGAGGGAGCATGCGCTGTGTGCATGGAAGCGTTGATGCGCGCTGAGTTGATGAGGAAGATAGAGATCATCGAGATGCGGGGTACCAAGTCCCTTCTCCTTCCCCGCACCCAACTATGGCTGACGACGCTGCACATCTGAACCTATCCCTGTAGGACCTGGAGCATTCGTCAGATCATATTTCTCGTATCTTTCCTCCTTGACCTCAGCCCCTCTCCTCCAGCCCCTAGACCCCCCCTGAGTTCTCAACCTCCGGGGGCCTCCATTATCTACCGGCTCTTCCCTCCCTCCCTCTCCCTCCTTCCTCTTCTAGAACTCTTCCTGTCCGCTCGCCTCATCATGACTCTGCTCGTTCTTGTGCTCCTTTCTCCCTGCTCCGCGTCCTCTCCTGCTCTACTTCACTCCCATTCCTGTTACTGGGAGAGCGGCTGCATTGCTAGAAATCATTCTGTAAAAGAAAAAAAGAATCTCGCAGAAAAAAAGACCAGATGAGCTTTGGACCACAGCAGGAACGGAATGCAAGGAGGATGAAGGGGGCAAGCACAGGCACAAGAACAATCATAAGGACATGGAAGACAAGGAGGAGAAAGATCACAATAAAATATGAGCAGGAATGGAGAGTTGAGTTGTCATAGGGAGGAAAGAAGAGTTGAGTTGTCATAGGGAGGAAAGAAGAGTTGAGTTGTCATAGGGAGGAAAGGAGAGTTGAGTTGTCATAGGGAGGAAAGGAGAGTTGAGTTGTCATAGGGAGGAAAGGAGAGTTGAGTTGTCATAGGGGGCATGATGGAGATGATAGTGAAAATCATGAACGCGGATTTGAAAGGAGAGTGAAAACCCAGGAGTAGGGGAAAGTGTAGGAGAAGGAGGAGATCAGGAAGAGTTCATGTTGGAACTTGACACTCACTTCCTTCTTCTTCATCCACACTCATTGCAACAATCTGATTGTGATTACTGACCTGGGTTCCCAACAGCTCGACCAGATGCTCCCGAACCTCTTGCTGAACTCTTGGAGATCAGTCAGACCCCGCCTCACGAGTGGACACCTGACTCTCAGTAGTCGCTGGGGTGCAGTGAGTGACAAGCTCTTCTCGAGCAGCGCCAAGATCATCGATGTCGATGGTGACAAGCCGATCGAGCCGAAGCAGGCAGAGGGGCATCTGATATATCCAGAGCGCGCAAAAAACCTCTTGTTTGCCAACAAGAGGTTTCAGGTGCAAAGTTACCAAAGATTGCCGGATGATAAGAACGATGGTTCTAGCATCTTCTCGGATCCCAACTCGCCAGTGATGGGGAAGTGGGACAATGCCTCGAGGAGCTTGATCATGTTCCTCGAGAAGAACAAGACAAGTCATATGAAGCACTGGGAGAATATCTCCAAGATTGCTTCTGCTTCCGTCGCCACGGGACACATCGATCCTCCACGGCTCACTCCGGTGTTCAAGCATCTCGAACTTCTTCCGCCAACGGTGAGGCTCGTGGGTGACCTCGTGCTGTACCAAGGCATCGGGCGCGACGATCACTTGAAAGATCTTGGGTTCAAGGAAGATGATGGCCATCTCATGTGCCTGGAGACACATGGCGTGCTCTTCATCGACATCTTCAACAAGAGAGAAAACATCGCGATGCGCGACTTTTCCGCAGCCTACGTGGACCCTCTCAGCGCTTGTCAGCATGAGATCCTCCACATCGGCAACACCAAGTACTTCGACTACCTTCCACAGTTCTGCAGAGATTTCTTAGGGGTGCCCGTGAGTACTCCGTATTTGTTTCCCCATCATTGTGTAACGCACGTTGCCAGGTTGAGATCGCGTTCATGTATGCGGCTGACAGGACCGGATTCAGTCTCTTCGGGCTGCAGGACGGAACTGATGATCGCTGGGGAGAGTACAGGTTTCCTTTCACCAAAGAGACCAATACGCAGGAGGACTTCTTCCTCATGATTGACACCATGATCGCCGAGGTTGAGGAAGCAAAGAAGACTCAAGTCGATGGAAAGCAGTAGCAATGCAGATAACTGAGTTGTTCAATCGCTTCTTTGTTTATATACAGCACAGAATACAACACAGAAGTACAGTCTTGCTCTAAACACGCACGGCACCTAGAGAGAGAAGCTAGAAGTTTGAGTTGTCAGGTCGAGCAGCTCTGCCTTCTTCGAGAGAAGAGATAAACTCAAGAAAAGTAGCATTCCATGGCTTGGAAGCCTTGTTAGCGTGCTGAGGAACGGATTGTTCGTGAATCGCTTTGGGCTTGCCAGGACTACCAAGGGAGTCGTGACTCTTGGAGGCTCCATTGTTGATCAAGTTCACATCGAGTCTCTTCATATTGTGAAAGGAGGATTGCTGAGCGTGCTTGCCTCCGGTGATGAAGTCAGACCCATGTGACACGGCTCTGTTTCTGACTCGGCCGTCCGTGTAGTGATGCGAGTTGAGTGGGTTCTTCCTCCCAGTGTGCACGGACCTGAGGACAGACTCTTTTGCCGTTGAAGAGAAAGCATGAGTCTTTCCTTTGACCGATGAGATGCAAGAGGTCCTGAGAGCGGAGATGGTAGAGCACGTCTTCGACATACTGAACCTTGTTACAGCCGTTGGAGGACAAACTCAACAGGATCAGTCTCTGCGGAACCAAACGTTGACAAGCAGAATCAATCACAAGGCCAATTTGAACTGCTCTGTTACAGAGAATTCAGAAGAATCGAAACCCCGAAGTTTTGCTGGTACTCGGAAATAGAGGTAGAACGCTGGTTGTCCTAACCAGAACAAAGCCGTTGGAACAGTTTTCCAGGAAAGAGGAAAAGCAAGGATCGAATAGAGAGAAGTGCTCAGAGACCCGAGATGTCGGTCTATTTAGAGAGCTAGAACAAGGTTGGTGGCAAGAGACAGTCGCAGCGGCTGAAGTGAGCGAAGGAACAATGTCCGCTGTTTTAATGCAGCAGGGAGGGCGCGAGGGAAGGTATTGTCTCCCACCCCTCTATCATAGGATAGATATTTGACCACGGTCAAATAATGGTCAAATCGCTGGGTCAAATGGTAGTCAAAAATGTCAGCACTACCAGATATTTTTGTTAATGACATTTGATGAGTGGTCAAACGGTTGGTCAAACTGATGGAATGTTCGAGGAAAAGTCACGAGACCAGGGATATCGACGGTCAAATGGTAGTCAAATCAGGGTCAAATCAGGGTCCGCCTGTCTCAACGTCAATTTAGGGGGTCTAAAAGTACCGTACCCCCTTCTGTATTTAGCCTCTTTTCTCATTCAACCCCTCCCTTTTACCCTCTTTCTTTGGGATATGAACCCCTGCTTGTCACGGTCTTCGGTGCCGCTGCCAGGGTGGCATGGTACCCGCACGGTACTTTTAGCCATCCCGGAGTCCGGGGCCGGGGCCTTGTCGCGCTAAAACAGTCGTTTCAGCCTTCAGGCACAAGTCTGTTTTACTCAAATTTTTTTTTTACTCAAATTTAAGTTAAAAAATCAGTACGAGACAGACCATCAGTGTTGAGTAAACTCTCCTAACTGTCCTCGTACTGAAGTTTCACTTAACTTTGAGTAAATATATTACTCAATGCAACACAGCTTAAATTTGAGTGAAACTCGCTCCGGACTCTGGGCCGGGCAGGTGACTGGCCGGCCGCTGAGCCGGCCCGACTGCACTTTTATGAATTGGTGGTTCGTGGGTCAAAATTAGGTTGAAAATTTTCAAATGTACTGATAGATGCAAAATTATTTGGATCCACGAACCACCAATTCATAAGATTTGGCGCCAAAAGGATAGGAGAGCCTAGCAGGGAGAGGAGGGAACTGTGGGGAAGGGAAAGGAAGCTGGGAAGGGAGGGGAGGAAGGGAGGGAGGCTGGGAGGGAGGTGGAGCGAGGAGAGCGGGGGTAAGGATGGGGGGGAGAGCAGAGAGGGAGAGAGGAAGGGAAACCGCCGGACGAGATAGAGGGGAGGGAGGATGGAAGAAGAACCGGCCAGGCAGTTGCCAGAATAATCCTGGGGGATCTGAATGGTTGTACAGGTGTGAAGTGAATTTCTTGCATGAGCTAATCATCTTGATTGTGAAGAATGAGCATGAGCATGAGCATGAGTCTCAACGCCGATGCGAACGCACAACATGACATCATTGAAGAAGAAATTTTGCCGTCCAAGAGGAAAATTAGAGAGCCTAAAACTGGCTCCATAGAGATTGATCTGGAGGACTTTCCGAATGGCGAGATCAACTTTTGGGAGCTTGTCAAGAGGAGCAGGAGAGCAAGGGAGACGAACGGCGCAGTGACATCCCTTGATGCTGCCAGCAATGAACTCCAGAAGCAGGATCCTTCAAGCGAATCTCCACGGTTTGGAGGTGGAATTTATGACAAGATCATTGCCAAATGGTCATCTATGACCAGTAATCCCAAGGACGTGGATGTAAGAATACTATTTTGCAAGCTTTTACGACATCTTGACGATTTCCTTGAACAGGATGAAAGTGCTGAAGATTCTGGCACAGACAACGATTCACAAGATTATGAACTTGATGACCCTCTGATTGATGATTCCGAGTTGGTTGAAAAATTCAAAAAGCGAGCAAAAGCTAAACATGAATCAAAGAGGACCCATGATTCAAATCTGGGATTTCATGTTGACACACAGAGATCGCTTGATGGAGCTAGCGATGTAGAGAAGGAGGAAGAGGAGGACGAGGACGAGGACGAGGACGAGGACGAGGACGAGGAGATGGAAGAGGATGGTACAGAGAGGGACTCTGGAGCTCCCAAAAAGCAGCGGAGGAAGACGTGGTTCAAAATGGGAGACAAGAATCCAATGGAAGTTGAGGAGGTGAAATGTGAGCTATGATTGGCTGCAGGCTGACTTGAAGCGGAAGGTCAAGAAGCAGATAGACGATCTTCTCGAGAGGAAGGAGAAGTACTCGACCAAAAATTACATCGAAGAGCTGGTCAAGCTCATCCGAGTTGCGGAACAGCATCAATGCGTGAGTTGGCCCTTTCAGTATTGCAGCGCCACAACGCTGACCGGAGCTGCACAGAACATTACATTGATGTTTCAGACATTTGCGGATGCCTTGAAGGTAAGTACAGATATTCAACACCATGGCGTGTCGTGTGTTGTCTGTTAAGAGGTGTGCAGATCAAGAGTCAAACTGTGGAGAATCGAGTTAGGAAAGCTATCCAGGCACAGACCAGCAAGAATCTCCAAGTATCATGGTCAATCTCCCATAGCGACATATTTTTGATTGCCTCTTGATCAGGACAAGTACTTGGAAGAGCTAAATGAATTTCTTCAGAAAGCGGAGCGAGAAAAGTTGCAGGCTCTGCAGATCGGAGACCTCAACTTCAATGGAGTTGTGAGGCGAATGATAGATGGTGTCACTAGCAATTGCTCGGTCGGTCATCTTTGTACTATGGTTTTGGAGTATGACGTTTTGAAAAGAGGAGCTGCTTGAAGCGTGAATTCCTCTCCATATTCAGGACGATAGTTTCTGATCTCAACATGATGCGAAATTTGCCGTGCAGGGTAAAGAAACTCTTGCTGATTGCGCATTAACAGCTGGGTTTAACAAAAATTGACAGGAAGATATTTTACAGTATATCGAGTTTGATATTGTCGAAGCTGCAAAGAGCCAGGTAAAGTCCACAGATGATGTTGCCTGGCGAAACGTAAGTGCAACGTATATACTTATCAATTCACATGCTTAATTCTGCTCAGTTCACCGACCGGATATACAAGTTGAAGAGCAAAAAGAAATGGCTGTCAACCAACGTTGGTCACGCTCAATTCCCAGTACGTGAAGACTTTTAAGATTGGATGATGATAACGATCTTTGAGCAGCCACGGATTCAACATCCTAACTCCCAGCCAGAGCCAAGTAAGATGTTGTTTCAGGAACACAAGCTCCCGCTTTATGGCAATGTGTTCGATAGTTTGCCCTTGCGGGACTAAACGTACACGAAGAGCTTTACATCTCTTTTATAGCGAACAGATTTTGCGAAATATTGTTTGACAATTAACCAGTGACCCTCCGATCCACTTTTGTCGCCTGCCCACCAAACATTCAACACCCTCACAAGTCTTGAGCTTCGGCTTCTCACCAGACTTGAGGCGCCAGTGTACATCTGTGCCGCGATGTTGGAGACTCCCATTTGGGTGAACTTCACGAGCAAGTCAGTTGGAGGAATTCTCATGTGTTGAACTACCTTTGAAAACATTTCATTGCTACTCTGACATGGCTGCCCGTATCCTGCAAAAACAAAATTCAGATCTTCAACACTAAAGGGCGATCTCAAAACCGTCAGTCCCGATCCAGGCGATGTAGATTTTCAATGAGCAGACGTCGACTTCTGTACCAGCAGTTGGATACCTGACGATGGCGCTCGTTCAATCCACATCCTAACTTGCAGTACAACATCTATCTACCGGCAGTAGGCTGCATTTGCATTGTTAGGGTCAGGGAGCCTCCGTATAGCACACTGTTTGGACGACTTTACGACGATTCGCGGCAGTAAGTCAGACCCTCATGTCATAACGAGAAAGGTCCTCACCGAGAGTGTGAGGTCGAATCCCATCCTTCTCCACTGCCATATTCATCACGATCAGCACGCGAAGCAAACACAGCGAGGGGAGGGGTTGGGAGACAGCAGCACCAGGAAGTTGAGGGTGGGAGGCTCTTGCGTAGGATCTTCAACACTGACTGTGCTGTCAACACCAGCCTGCAGCTCGTTCAGCTGCCATGTACAAAGGGAATCAAATCTGCACGGACCATCGGAACTCCCCAGCAGTAGTCGACGGAACAGCCAACACAACCTATACAGAAGAAGACGCTCTGTCAGACTTGACCAGTCGCTAGCCTCTGCCATTTTTTCTTGATGAGAGCATTGTTCACCTATTCCCCGCTCCTCGAAGTTGTATCGCACATACGTGTTCTGGTATATGAGCTGACAGGATTTTGAGTTGAATTCATGAAGAGAGTAATTGCATACTTGGCCGTTCTGGATGGAGATAAGGGCGGTGAGGGAGGGCAGGTACGAATAGTTGTAAATGTATGGAACTTTTCTTGTTCCAAGGGCGCACATACCTGATGACAAGCATGAGAGGTGTCATGTGATGTTTCAATCTCACATTCAGGTGAGACATCCCAGGGGCTTGCACACTGACAGGTGGGATCGTCGTTGGCAGATGTGCTTCTCCCTCCTATCATCACTTGAACATAGAACGTGCTCATACCCTCCTTGATGTAGCCGTTCGGAACTCCCTTCGTCACATTCGTCAAGCCCGTTCCATTGAGCTCGCTGAAACGCTTCTTCCAGTTGCAGTTGCAGTACCCGACAGTGGGCAGGATTACACGATCCCCAGGGTTTGCATCTACCCAGACGTAATCTCCCGTCTTTCCTGGGTAGTTGGTGCTGTTGCAGATTCGAGAATTCAGCAGCTTCTGCACATCAAGGGACGTGCAGCCCAAGGTATCGGTCCAGACTTTCTCACCAGCCTGGCACGAGGCCTGATCTGCAGTCGGAACTTCAGAGCACGATGCAGGTTGGAACGAGCAGGGGAAGTTGGCCACACTGAAACGGTCAACCTGAGGAGCAACGAAGGAGCTGAAGATTATTTGGTCCGTGCAATAATCCACGAGATTGATCTGAACCGGAACCTTCTCATCGATCTTCATGGTGTAACCACTTTCAAAAGGTTTGTCTGTGCAGAAACTTGGTACATCAGTGTCGTTGTACTGCAAACTTCCGGGTTTACAGCACTCCCCAGGGAAATTCTGCTGAGGAATTGGTGCGCAGTTGCAGGTCTTGGGGCAAGCAGCATCCGAAAGCGAGGAAAGGAAAAGGAAGGCAGTGAGAACAATCACATAGAACTTTGAAAAGCTCATTGTGCTCGCTTGAAGAGGCAACAACGCGCACCCTTAGATCAGGTTTCCTTGGAGAATGAGGTCAAGTAGAAGTATGAGGAGGAGGAGGAGGAGGAGGAGGAGGAGGAGGAGGAGGAGGAGGAGGTGGTGGTGGTGGTGGTGGTGGTGGTGGTGGTGGGAAGGAGCTCACGGAGCGAGCGGGGAGGGGAGCAATGGAGGAACAAGGAGGGAAAACCTGGGTAGGGGTGAGTCCCTACTGATTTTAATATCACCCTAAAATGAATGTTTTGTACCAAAGGGACAGTATTAGTTTTTAATTGTTTTGTAAATGTAGTACCGTGATATAATCTAAAAAATATTAAAACTTTGTTCGCATATCATCGATTTTGACGGGTGGGGTAGTCAAACAGGTACCCCGAAATACCTTTTCTTAATTACAAATTCTGGGGTGGTCAAGTGTAGCAGTGAAAATTCTGGGTGGTGGGGGTCTCTTCCCCAAGTTTTCCGAGAGCAGACGGACCGGCGCGCCGGGCGGCTCACGGCCCGGGATCAGCGGGCGGTCCGGCCCCGGGCCCTCACGGCCATGAGCTCGCCGCGCCGGGCGGCGGGGCCATCTCATCGTGGGCCCGGCCCGGCGGTGGCGCGACCCGACAGTGCGCGGCCACTGCCGGCGCGGCTGTCACCGACTCCCGATGAGGAGTCGGAGCGGCTTGACTCGGCCGGCGCGGCAGTCACTGGGCCGCAGTGGACTCAGGCTTCAGTGACAGGCGGTCCCGGGCCCCGGGCCCGGGCGTAGTTTATAAAACAAAGTTTAGCTTAATGTTTTAGGCAGCTGCAATTGTACGAGAGTTCAATAATTGATTTTTGTATTTACTATCTATCCCATTTATATATTGTTTTTCATTGAGTTTTGATGGTTTTTTTATAATGTTATATTTTTTCTTATAAGTCGGCCCGTGACCGTTTCATGCAGGTCCTTGGAATGGTGGGTAGGGGTAGTACCACCCTGCATAACCTTTTTTGGTGTTTAAGAGGGGATGGGGTATGTACCCCTACCCATATATTATCCAACACCCAAAGTCAGAGTACCCCCTTCTGATGTTCTGACTTCTGTTCCCTACCCCCCGTCTCACCTACCACCCCTGCCCTAGCTAGGGGTTGGCACACCCCAGCCCGTCCCCGCTGGGAAGAATAACAGAAGAAAAAAGGAAAAAAGAAGAAAAAAACACGAAGAAAGTCGTACGGAAATGCGCACAAACACAAAGAGAGAAGGAGAGGAGAGGAGAACAGCAAACAGGTTACGGGGGGAGGGACGGAGAAGAGGGAGAGGAGATAGAGGAGAGGAGAGAAGAGTCGACCGAAACGAATTGAACCATGGCGGAGGGAGGTTGGGGCCATGGGGGAGGGAGGTTGGGGGCGGTTGATGCAAGGAAGGGTAGAAGTGCTAATGGCATCGCAACGAAAGGAGATGAAGGAGGGACATGTGGAACAGAGAAGCTGCATAGTGAGCACCTACATGTTTCTGAGTCTTGCTCGCCAGATGGAAAACTTCCCACCCGGGATGGGCGGACAACATGCCAGCCAACAAGTAAAAGGACTCCAGGAGCGCATGCGGTAACCTGTATGCTGCAGGACGACTTGAAGAGCAATAGCGAAGGTGACAGCGACGAAGAACCTGGATCCAAACGCCCAAGAAACTCGACCGGAGGAACTCTTTGGATCGACGTTGTGGCCTGATGTCTGACCCTGGCGCAGAGGAGCAATACCGCAAGGAGAAGCACAAGGTGGTGGAGCAGAAAAGAAGAGAGAAGGTGGGTTCTCATGCTGCAGTGCGAGCATGCCATTGACGTATGCTCTCCAGACAAAAGAATTGTTAGCCGACCTTCAGGTTCCTTTGGCCAGCCCCAAGGCGACTTTGCATGATGAGGATGGGCCAGGATTTGCTTCCCAACCTCGACTCGACGAACTCGGCAGCATTGACGATGAACACTGTGACGATGAACACTTGAAGGACGCGGGCGAAGGTTGACTGTGGTTCCAGGTCCTTCAATGTGCCATCGACTTTCTATCCAAGAACGCGTCAAATGTACAGACTCAAAGCTCTGGCAATGGCACCAATGGAGGTAAAGCTTTTTAGCTGCGGCCAGCTCTTGTCCTCACCTCTTTGCAACAGGAGCAGAAGGAGCGCTGGGAGTTTCTGCGAACGACATAGAGCAGGAATCGAACGACATAGACTTGAAGTTGTCTCATGGCTCAAGTGCAGGCGTACATGTCAGGATTTCTCATGGCTTCGATGGGCATAGCGTATGCAGGTGTGATGAGAACTGAAGAGAAGGCGTTGCTTCTCAAGTGTCGCAGGTGCCGACGGAACGATACAAGAGGTTCACTTCCCCCACTCGTCTTCCTCTCTCCTGCCGCTAAAAACTCTTGCTTGTTCACGCAGGTCAATCCAGCCTTCGCTGCCATGCTTGGCTATGGAGCAGATCAGGTTGCCCTCCCCCCAACCATCACCTCCATGTGTTTCTGTTCGTTGATGTTGCCCCACACCACCACCACCATGTGTGTTTATGTTGATTCATGATTGTTGTCAGCGATACAAGCTGATCGGCCGAACTTTCTTCTCTCTCGTCAGCCCGCAAGACATGCAGGTGATTTCTGCCCGCCGTTGAGAAGGCAGCTGATCTCCTCCCAGAACACCCTCAAGGCAGTCTCGCAACTTCTCTCTGGAGAGCTTAACCATATTCCCCTGACGCAGAACTGCGTGAGACAGGTTTCATTTCTTGCTTGCCTCAATCTTCCTTCCCTGACAAGGTTTGATGCCACAGGACGGAACAACCGCCAGCTTCAAGTGAAGTCTATTGCTCCAGTCTGCAACGCTGATTTCTTTCCTCCAGCGTTGAGATGAACTGCCTGTGGAAGAACAACAAGGCGCACTGCATCGTGTGCTTCATGCGACCCTCTGAGAGCGGCCCTGGAGCCTCAGGTGCCTCGACTGCCTGCTGGTCGCACCCCATGAGCAGCTGCAGGTCAAGACATGGGCGGGATGAACCAAAACCAGCAGATGCCGCAGGGTCAGCCGCTGCTCCCCATGACTTCAGGATTCCCTGGTCAGTCCCCTGCCCTGCCTCGCCTCCTCCCTTCTCCTTCAAGGTCTCGTGCTCATCACCGCGTGTAGGAGTCCTTCAAGGTATGGGCCCCATGCCCGGCAACCCGGGCATGCCTGGACGACCAAGCCTGGTACAAGGAGGGGGGAGGCGGAGCAAAGAGACTGAGAGGGGGGAGGCGGAGCAAAGAGACTGAGAGGGGGGAGGCGGAGCAAAGAGACTGAGAGGGGGGAGCGGAGCAAGGGG